AAAAAAATGGCAACTACTCAAACAGGCAGAGGAATGTTTGATGAGTTGACAGTAATCCCTTTTTCTGACAAGCAAAAGTCAGTAGTATTCAGAGTTTTTGCAGCGTTCAGAAAAATAAAACCAGATGCAAGGCTGGTGCTTCATTTAACCTTTTTATCAACGTAATAAGTAGATTTTACAAACCAGTTGTAGATTTCTCCAACCCCGAGCAAACATGTTGCAAGTAACTTCAGTAGCAAGAGAGAAAGAGAGAACTCCCAGTTTCACTTTAGTTTCAGCAGGCAAGCAGAGGAGAGAAGCAGTTTCATGTTCAACAGACAGGCTCAGAGCTCCACAGAGCATCAGAGCTTAATATAGAGCCACGCCTAGGCTACTTGTAGTTTCAGTTTCCAAACAGTCCTCATTGTTACTGACTTGGTTGCTGTGCCTATTCATTGGCTGACCTTGTTACCAGGCTCTAGTCCAGCCCATGAATATAATCTGAGAAATAGGGAAGGCGGATTCGCTTCGACTGGGCTCCTAATAGAACAACTGCAGTGATTCACTTCATAAACGTGGCAAGAAAAGTCGTTAAAACGGAGCAAAACGCACTCAGCCGAGTTCTCACATAGCAACAGAAATCTTTAATTATTATTTCTCTCCCCCCCCCCCCCCCCCCCAAATTTGCAACCATTGCAAGCATCTCCCTGGTCACGTGATCCAAACCCAGACTCTTGGCAACTGGCTCACGTTTACGACGGTCGCAGTGATCCCCTTTTGCAACCTTCCGACTGGTAAACGGAGAAGCCAGTTTGGGTTTATGAACAGAAATGATCCATTTAACAACCATGGCAAGAAAGGTCATAAAATGGGGGCAAAACTCACTTAACTGTCTTTCTTACCAATAGAAATGTTGGTCTCCGTTGTTGTAAGTCGAGGACTACTTGAACTGGTTTTTATTAGACACTTCCCAATGTGGCATTGATGTTCTTCGTTGGACAGGTAGTCCTCGACGTACAACAATTCATTTACTGACCGTTCGACATCACAACGGCCCTGAAAAAAAAGGGGACTGTATATGACCCTTTTCCACACACAACGACTTGCAGCATCCCCAGGGTCACGTGATCATCAAAATTCAGCCGCTTGGCCGCTGACTCCTACTTATGACGGACACAGTGCCCCGAGGCTCACATGATTTCCCCATTTGGCGACCATCCGACGAGCAAAGCCAATCAGGAAGACAGATTTCGTTTAACGACCATGTGACTTAACTTCACTACTGCTGCAGCGATTCATGGGACAACAGTGTCAAAAGAGAAAGGTCATAAAACGAGGCAGAGTGTTTTGCTGAGCAGGATAAATTTGGGCCTCCCTCGTGGTCCGGAAGCCCAGGGATCCTTGACTTGGTTTTTATTAGACCATCCTGTGTCGATGTCTTTGTTTTTGTTTTAATTTTAAACCTTTATTGAAATTTGAAACACAAGTAAATCTAAAAAGATAACTGTACAATTCTCCATCTTCTTTGACAGTACTAAAAATCTTGGTGATAATTCCTACATTTCCACACAGATAATACACATTAGATCATACAGATCATCAGAGTTGGAAGGGACCTTGTAGGTCATCTAATCGAACCCCCTGCCCACGTGAGAGGCCCTACAACAGGGGTGTCCAACCTTGGCAACTTTAAGACTTGTGGACTTCAACTCCCAGAATTCCTCAGCCAGCAAAGCTGGCTGAGGAATTCTGGGAGTTGAAATCCACAAGTCTTAAAGTTGCCAAGGTTGGACACCCCTGCCCTACACCATTTCTGACAGATGGCAGTCCAGTCTGTTCTTGGAAAAACCTCCAGTGATGAAGCTCCCACAACCTCTGAAGGCAACTTCTGTTCCTTGGGTTGATGGTTCTCACTGTCACAGAATTTCTCCTTATTTCCAGGTTAAATCTCTCCTAGATCAGTTTCCATCCATTGTTCCTTGCCTGGCCTTCAAAGGTCTCAGGTAGTAGTATCTCTGCTGGGCCCTTTTGACCAGGGCTGCAATGTGAACCCACCCCAGGTCAGGTCCTCTTTTTAGGGTAACACCCAGAAACTTAAAAGTGGCCACTTGCTCCACTCGGTCTCCCTTGATAAGCCAGGGCTGGAGGTCTGATCTGTTCCTTCTACAGTCCACTAGAAGCTCCTTGGTCTGACTGGTGTTGAGGACCAAGTTGTTGTCTCCGCCCCACGAAAGCTTGGTAGCTACCCTGGCTGGGTCTTACTCCATCCCCTGACTCCCTTCCCTTCCTCTCTTGCAGGGTGTTCCAGAGAAGAAGACGCTTCCCATCACCGTCCCCAAGTCCCCGGCTTTTGCCTTGAAAAACAAAGTGGGTGCCCTGGTTAGAGAGGAGAAGAAAGAAAAGGTATCTTGCTTTGCGCTGGGCCTTGGTTTGGCCTCGGGGGGTGGGGGGTGGGCCGCTGGGGTAGCTCCACTCATGGCTGTTCTGAAGCCCCGGTTGATCTCCCTGGGCTGAGTGGGGTTTGATGTAGCCTCCCCGGACGGACTAATATCGGTAGTCCTTGACTTGAAACCATTCGTTTGGCGACCAAAGCTTCGACGGCACTGAAAAAAAGTGATTTACATTCTTCCTCTCCACAAACGCCTCTCCCTTTTAGGACTGATGATGTTCCCTAGTTGGGTCATGAAACGTCCACCAGAAAACAACCAAGCTTAGAGAGCACCGAGGACCACGCAGTCCCTCCTCCCCTTCCTTCCTTACCTTCCTTCCTTACCTTCCTTCCTTCCTTAACTTCCTTCCTTCCTTCCTTCCTTCCTTCCTTCCTTCCTTCCTTCCTTCCTTCCTTCCTTCCTTCCTTTCCTTCCTTCCTTTCCTTCCTTCCTCATATAAAGAAGAATCTCCATGAAAGATTTCCCTTTGTGCCACAAAACGCCCTGCTCACAAGTTTTTATTTTGGTGTTGGGTTTCCTCCTGCCTAAGCAGAGGGGGTTGGACTAGAAGACCTCTATGGTCCCTTCCAACTCCGCTATTCTATCATTCTTTCTTCCAGTCCTCGACCTTATGGCCGCAATGGAGCCCAACGTTTCAGTTCTTAAGCGGGACGTTGATTAAGCTACTTTGCCCCCATTTTACGACCGTTCTTTGCCACAGAAGTTCTTACG